ATAAGTTCCACCAAATATGCTTTTACAAACAAAATCAATAGAAGAAAAAAATCTAAACACAGTGAAAATAAAACTTTTAAATTATTCCCATCATTGACTTTGTATCCTCTCCTTTCCCATATCTTCAGTCAAGTCAGCCTTCCTTACCTAGAGTATTTTATTTCTCAATTTAAAATATTATAAAATAAAATAGAGAGAGTTAAATGTGAAGAGACCCTCAAAAAGTAAAATTTAAAATTGTTAAATAAAAAATTAAAATTAATATTTTTATTAAAAAATTAATAAAATTAAATTTTTAAATAAAAAATAAAATTAATATTTTTAATTATATTTTTTTTATTAAAAAACTCACCTTTTATCTAATAATTATTGTTATGTAATTTCAATTATATAATAATTTTTAGTTTTTTTTATCAGCATATAATAATTTTTAGTACAATAAACTTTCCTTTTCTCTCTTCCCAGCCCATTGGTATTTACTGTCATTAATTTTCTTTTCTTTTTCTTTTTAAAATAAATGTCAATAACAATATTTTTTTAATGTATCAAAAAATGTCAATACATAGTAAAAATGATGTATACATCCTTGATGAAAGGGCAAAACTCAGAACAACCAAAAGGATTATAATTATCTTCGGCCTGAACTCTAAACATTCATGTTTTTTTAAGGCGGTTTAGGATGAAAAACAACTTTCTCGAATTTTAATGTCAATTTCAAATATATATTAGCATAAGAGACAGTCACTAATGTCTGATTCTTGACGCAATTTACATGTGCTGGTGGGCTTCTTCCTTGCTGTTTCTTACTTCTTTTGATAAATTATTAGGATTATTAGTCCATTATTTTATACTATTTTGTTAATTAATTAATTAAACCTTGTTGCTCATCTCTCCCTCTCTCTAAAGAACCAATTATTGTTTCTTTCTATTTATTATTTAGAAATTCTTGTGTGGTAAATTCAAACTAGTGGCCAATGTTTTGCTTTAGAGTTATGGTAATTTTCTTCTTGTTTGGCAATTTGGTAACCTACCATAACAGAAAAGTATTGCTTATATATTCCTCACAAATTTAATGCTTGACGATTTCTACCTTTCTAGATTTCCTCAATAGCTTTTGCCTCTTTAAGTACGACATATTTGATATAATAGTTTAAAAGTAATAGTTAATGATTTTATAGAATTTAAAAAAAATCAAGATGTTTTAATGTTAGGATGTTTTGACATTAAGATGATCTAATTTTGACTTTTTCAATAATTTTATCTGTTTTAATAATTAATAATTGTTATTATTAATAATTTACATACTATTATTTATTATATTAAATAAAAAGATTTGTCTAACCTAAGTAGACTATAGATTAATGGTGCATTAATTACACCTATTTACATTTACTTTTTATAAAAATTCTTAAAAGTTGAAATTATTTTTATCATTAATATTACACATATATTTTTAATTGAATGGTTGATAAAATTAAAGTTACATTTTAGTTTTTTTGATACAAATCAATTGTAAAAAATATACAAATGATGCACTCTTAACCTATACTCAATTTAGAAATTCCCTAAATACAATCACTAATGATGGCAAAAAAAAAAAAAAAAGAGACAAAATCACTAATTATTAATTTCAAACTGCTATATCAAATAACTTCTATATACTTAGATAATTTAGAAAGAACCTAAACGCAGGTTGGCTTGATTTTAAACCTAGGTAATTATTTAGGAAGAACCTAAACACAATTTGGATTTAACTTCTAAATTTTTTTTAACAACAAAAAACTCTTTTATTTATTGAGTGTAGAGGGTGCTCGAACCTGTTAACATTATAGCAATCTTATTACAAACTAGCAAAGAGAACCAAAGCAATATGCAAGCAAGCCCAAACGCAAACTAGAGGTAGGATTCTAACTTCTAGATTATGATTAATTATACATAGGACAATAATTAGTATATTCTCTAATTTGATACATTTTACAATACACTTATTAATATATTATAATTTTTAAATTTGAATTTAAAGTGAAAAACTTTTAATTATAAAATTTAATGACTCAATTGATAGATATTTGCGGGTATATTAAACCAATAAATTTTGATGAGTATGTTGGATCAAAATGATGTGTATTAATCAATTTCCTTACTCATGATTAATGTATCATGTTCTAACTTCTAGATTATGGTAAATTATTCCCACAATAAGTGTATCATATGAATTATGCAAAGCCGAGGGAATGTTCACTTATATTAAAAAGAAGCTTGGCTTGATTGGATGGAGTGGTTTATAGATACTCCTAGAACTAATTCAGGCAAAGGTCCAACTACTAATGTTATTTAAAGAAAAAATAAAATCTTGATATTAAGATAGAGGTGAGGTTTAAACCAAAACAAATGCTAAAAAAATGATATCAATATGCTTGCAAAGATGAGAAACGAGTATCAGCAAAAGAAGTTAGTGTGTTTAGTGTGGAGAGCTATTGTTCAATGAAATCTCTCTCTACCTAAGGCAGTACACAAAAGCCATGGCATCCAATGTCCTACATAATCAAGGAACAAATCGTCATGACGTATTATGTGGGAATTATTCAACCGGTTGATTTGGTTCTGATGTTCAGATCGTATGATCATATATGACATAGAGAACAGAGAAAGAGTGAGTCAAATGAGATGGCCGATTAATGAACGTATGAATTTTTATATATATATATATAGATTATCTTATATTCTGGACTAAATAAGAAGGCCAATAAGAAAAAACCTGGTTTTCTCTCCTTTTCCCCACTATAATCTTTTTTTATGCATAAAGCTTCCATCTTTTTCTCATGCCCACTTTTTGAATTCTGCAGACCTTTCCATGTCTCTTCTTCTCCAGCTATTATGGTCTTCCTTTATATATAACATTATTACCTCTACTCTCAATATTGTCCCCAAGTAACTAGATATTTAGAGCTCTGAAACAGATTCTCTAAAACTAACATGGGGAGAGCTCCTTGCTGTGACAAAGCCAATGTCAAGAAAGGTCCATGGTCACCTGAAGAAGACGCCAAGCTCAAGGCCTACATCGAGCAACATGGCACCGGTGGCAATTGGATTGCCTTGCCCCAGAAGATAGGTAATTAGTAGTTAGCTAGCTACTTAACTACACAAAAACTTACACTTTCTAGTTTCCATCCTTTAGATTACTCAAATGTCTGAATTCGCACTTTCAGGTCTTAAGAGATGTGGGAAGAGCTGTCGTCTTAGGTGGTTGAATTACCTAAGACCAAACATTAAACATGGAGGATTCTCAGAGGAAGAAGATAACATCATTTGCAGCCTCTATATAACCATAGGAAGCAGGTAAAATTTATAGGCTCTTTTTTCAGATATCCTCATCCTTAATTCTTTTAAAGTTCCTAAGTTTACAAGGGCTAATTAAATGAGTTTAATTTCATCTTGAATGCTAGGTGGTCTATAATTGCTGCACAATTGCCTGGGAGAACAGACAATGACATCAAGAACTACTGGAACACAAGGCTGAAAAAGAAACTCCTAGGGAAGCAGCGCAAAGAACAACAAGCTCGCCGCGTCAGGCAAGATATAAAGAGAGAGACAGAGGACTATTATTCTCTTCCTTCAGGAGTCATGAATCATGGTACTCCATGCTGGCCAGAGCTACCAGCAGTCATGCCTCTACCAGCCAATTCAAACCAAGATTCTCACTTCAATGACCAAGAATCACTCAGCAATCTGTTTATCAAGCTAGGAGAAAAATTTTCCAATGATCATCCTCAACAAACAAGTTTTCAACATCCTTTCAATCAAGTGCCCATCACTCAAGATCAGCTACCATACGAGGATTCCATGACCATGTTTGCTCCTTCTTCTTCTATGAGTTCCATAAGCAGTGCTGATTGTTCTCAGTTGTCAAGTGCCAACTATGATGTTCAGGGGCTAGAGAATTTTCAGGTCGAGTTAAGTGAGTTGATCTATGGAAACCAGCAGCAGTTTGATGAACTGGGTTCCTATGGAATGGAGAACATGGTAGATGGTAGCAGCGGGGTCAGTTCCGTGGAAAGCAACAGCTGGGGGGACATAAACTCGCTGGCTTATCCTCAAATTGTTTCTGGGTTTCAAGGTGGACAACAAAGCATGCCCCAAGTTTCCAACTTTGAAGGCTCAAGCTATTTTGGGCCACATTAACCGAAATACACTACTGCTGTGTACTGTGTATGGGTGGGGTGTAAAAATTTAAATCTGTACTCTTAGGAAATTGATATGGTGTCAGAATTTCAGATATCCTAGTGAATTACTCTTGCTGAGATTTGTTCTTTTGATCCTTTTCTCTTTAGCTTTGCGTAATTTGGATGCTGAATGCAGAATCTTAGAACCTTGAAATTATTAACTGACAGTTTTCTGAAATGCACTTTGCGTTTGAGCCTACATCTGCTTTCAAGTTGAGTGCAGAAGGCTTGTTTGTATATTATTATAAAAAAATGTGCTTTGATCTCTCCTGAATGAGTCATGTTGAAGAGCTTTATGGAATATTTGATTCTTAGTTGCACTGCAAAAAAGTAGAGCCTTTTTCCTGTCCAACACATGGGATGATTAAGATTTGCCATAAATTAAAGTTTATTTCCTCTATGAAAAGGTACCAATGAAGTTTTTTTATACACATGAGAGTTTCAACCCGAAGTTTCAAGTTCTACTCGTTAAGACATCCATTGGGGGTATAAAAAATGAAGCTGTAAAGGTATATACTACTTTGACGTTCTGGCAACTATTTCCTAAGCTTTGCTTCTGTTATTTATATCTCCATGCCTGCAATACTTTATCTCTCCATCTCATAGTTTATTGTTCCTCAATTGTCACTGAAGTAATCAAATGGAGAACATCCTCCTCTTCTGCATGTTGTATATACGATTAGGATGGAGAATTTACGATGTATATTATTCAACGTTCTCAAAGACAATTGGTTGGATTAATATTGCTTCCTCTTTGAGAACAAGAACTTTCTGGTAATTAAGTGTGGCCGGCCAATGCTGGAAAGCACTTCCAAATTCCAATGACTTTAATGAATGGTGGTTGTTGTACAAAATTCTATAATGGATATCAAGGGGAATAGGAAAAACAGTGGGGGGAAGAGAAGAAAAACAGATGAAACCGCATGTTATGCGGGAATGCCGTCTTTAAAGTCAAAAGGAGATCTAAAGAGAATGGCACTAAGCAAAACAAGATTGACCATCTTAATTATTAAAGTTAGCTAGCCTTATTAGCTTATTAGCAGCATTATAGATCAATTATTAATTCCCACAGTCAAACAGCGCCCATTTTTTCTCTCCACATAGATCACCTCTCTTTAGTCTTAAAGCAAAAAGTCAACAGTTCATATCTATTGCAATTGCAGGGAAACGAGATAAAAGAAAAGAAAAGGAAGAAGAAGAGATGGGAGATCTCTTAGTGAGACATAAATCTCTTCATAGATTTCTTTATCCATTCAATATGTTACACAATATGAATAATTATTCCTTTTTAATATTTCTCTTTATTTGATAAGATTGAATGTAAAATTTATAATTTAAATTTTAAGTTTTAACGAAACATTTTTTTATAAAAAATCTATTTTTACATTCTTACTTTCAACTAGAATTATAAATTTAGTTTTGCCATTCTTCTATACATTTTTATTAATTAATTATTTTTTCTTTCATATCAAAAGATAAATTATATAATAAAAAATAATTAATTTTTTAAAAAAAAGAGTTTACTTATTTTAAAATTTAAATTTAAAATTTTTAATATGAAAATTTAAATTTTAAACGACTGTATTGTCCCTTAAAAAATAATAAATTAATTTGCTTTTGGCAAGTCTAGAGAGATCCTTTGTTTTGCTGGCCTTATTTTTTCTTGATATAAATGGATACCTAACTCGTCATGAGTTATTTTCTTTCTCCCTCTTTGTTTTTTTTTTTTTTTTTTTTAACTCATTTGACACGATAGGTAACACACCTTCCATGCCGTGGGTCTTTCAAACCACAAGATATGATTTAGGTTTCATCAGCATTGATAGCACCCGCGCATCGCAACAATAAGCATGATGTCAGCAAAATTCCTTTATAGGGGCGTAGAAGATATTGCTACTTATTATTTTGTTAAATTAATTATTAAAATTAGTAAATAATTATTATTTATTATTTTAAAAATAAAATTAATTTATAAATTAATATTTTTATATTTTTAATTAATTATTTAAAAATTATAA